ATATCAGTTTAACTACCTCCTTCTCTCTTTGGGCTTCCTTTTGCACAGAATATCTTTTGCCACTCTTGATGACGAGCTTATATGTGTGATTAAAGTTAAAATGAACCTCTGGAGTGCAGCATATGGTTGGATTTCTTTCAGTGCCTCCATTCACTGTTCCTTGGTTAGAGAATGCTCTAGTTCAGATTCCCCAAATTCTTGCATTGGAAACTCGACTTCCAATGCAATGGGGTTGGATGGTGAGGGTTAATGCCTGCATCAGATGAGCGTGTTGAGATGAAGCAGGTCTGTCCCTCTGGCTTCCTTCCTGCATCTCCAGCCTCCCCTTCCCCTTCAGACATGTTATGATGCCACACCTAAGCCCTCTTAGGTTCTATCAACATGCCATCACCAGCACCAGTAGCCACACTGCCCACTCCAGAGGGTTATTTTATAACAGTGTAGAATGGGCTGAGCTGCAGACTAATCCTCTTACACTTAAAGTAATAACTGACAAGTAAGGAGTTACATTGTCATTCTGTCATTTTCAGATTGTTTACAGTTCCTTCCTTCCTGTCTCCCTGTCCTGCTCTCCTTGTGCTAGGTTCGACTCTATTATTGGGCTTTCCTCTGTGGTCATTACAAAACAGCTTAAAACTCCCAAAATCCTACTCTAACCTCCTAACAGTTAAATTTTCACCAAAGGCATAGAGTATGATTTTATTTTTTTATGATGTGATTTTTATTTTTTCTCTATTTATGCCCCCAATGGTATGATTATGTATTTTTTTCTTGTGTGTTCATGAACACAGTACTATAACTAGAGTTTTACTCTAGAGTTTTTCTCTAAACATAGGAATTGATCGGACTTTGTGGAAACAATATCAACTGCTACCTATACTACAAGAACTTGATTTTGATGCACTTATGCTTTAAATGGTTGAGGTAGATAATGGAAATTGTCCAAGTTAAAAGAAGAGCTTTTCCAGGTACAGGAAGCTCACAACTGTAATTGTAGCTATTCTGGAGGCTGAGATCTGAGAGTGATAGTTTAAAGCAGCTAAGGCAGAAATGTTTGTGATATTCTTATCACCAGCATAAAGCTGGTGGAACTACAGCTCAAGTGGTAAAGCACCAGCCCTGAGTGATAAAGCCAGTGAGAATGTGAAGCCCTGAGTTCAAGCCCCAATTTTTTTCTCTCTTTCTCCCTCTCTCTCTCTCCCTCCTTCCCTCTCTCTCTCTTTCTCTCTCTCTCTCTCTCTCTCTCTCTCTCACACACACACACACACTGTGGGAGTGAGAGGAAGAGAAAGAGGCTGGCAAGAACTAGATCTGGTATTTTCTAGCACACTGGGTAGCCATAATTCTATAGCAATCTATGAGACTTTTCAAAATAAGGAGAAAACAAGAGTTTAGAGTTGTAAAGATAGGAATGTTAATTACCTTGATTGGATAATTAGACATTATATACATGTATCAAACCACTGTACTCTACCTACACTTTAGAATTATGAGTAACTACCATCATAACAATTTGTTAGTGGCTACATAAAAAATATGTAAACCTCATTATCAACTGGAGAAGAAGCCAATAGTTTGATACATGTATGGAGTTTAGTGTAGTAATATTATAAGACAGTTACCAGAAGGTGAAAAGCAAGTTTGATAGTACTCATTGTAGCTAGTTTTCCATGTAGTTTAAAATATTTAATTTTTATTTATATTTATCTCAAACCTCAAAATTTCTGATCTCTGGCTCCCAAGTAGTTAGGGTTACAGATGTGAGCTGTTGCACCAGACTTCAATGGTGTCTTTGAATTCAGTGATTCTTTTGACCAAATTGACTGTTAAAATGCGTTATTGCATGCTTATGTTTCAAAGAAGACACTGTATTCTTTATCTCTTGGACTTCTTTTTTCTTTCTTTGTACTGAGGATTGAAATCAAGACATTCCTTTGTCTTGCAAGTGCTCTGGCACCTGAACTATGCCCACAATCCTTTTGCCTTTGTTTTTCAGATAGCTCCTTGATCTATCTTTGCCCAGGTTGGCCTTGGGCCATGATCCTTCCTCTGGGAGGTACCTGGGATTACAGGTGTGAACCACTATGTGTCGCTTGTCTTTGAGTTAGGGTCTTATAACTTTTTGCCCGTGCTGGCCTATAGTCACATGTCTTCTGTCTCTGTCATCCTGAGCATCTGGGATTACAGGACTATGCCACCATTCTTGGTCCTGCTTTTTTATTTTTAAAACAAAGTGGCTCTATTTCTGTGTTGCTTAAGTATTATTTTCCTAATTTCACTAGTTTTTTTTTTTTGGTTAGTTCATTGATAATGTTTTTGTAGTTTATTTTAAGAGAATTATTCTGAATTAATTTCCAATCAACTTGTAAATATTAATTTTTTGGTGGTCTACTAGAATTTTATTAGTTTTCTTTGATGGTGTTATAAAGAAACTCACTTTCAGTCTAAAGACACAAATTTAAGTTTATTTTGTTGTTGTTGTTGTTGGGGCTTGCACTCAGGGATTGGGCAATGTCTCTGAGCTCTTTTGCTCAAGGCTAGTGCTCTATCACTTTGAGCCACAGCACCACTTCCAGTTTTCTGGTAGTTAATTGGAGATCAGAGTCTCATGGACTTTCCTGCCTGGGCTGGCTTCGGACTTCAATCCTCAGATCCCAGCCCCCTCAGTAGCTAGAGTTACAGGTGTGAACCATTGGCATTGGCTCAAATTTAAGTGCAAAATGTAAATGTGGCAGCCATGAAGTCTAAAATTGGGAAGAGACTTTCATAGAGGAAGAGAACCAAAATTAAACTGAGATACTGGTAGTGGAAATGGAGAGGAAGTGAACTAGATGAAGGTAATCTGACCTGGTACCTGTTCATGGAAACTGGTCATGTAGGTGAGAGAGGTTATGAAGCAGAACAGAATTTCTGACTGTGTCTAGGTGGTGCCATGTTCTGAGACAGAGGGCGCAGTGGAGCCATGTTGAGTTTCCAAACTAACATTGGGAATGGGCATGCCCTGTTTATGGGCTGCTTTGTCTTGAACTCATCTCCCTAGCCAGATCATGCCTGCTTAATTTAGGCTATAGTCAGTGTGCACAGGAAACTTCCCTTGGTGTGTCCCGGCTCAGCCCCAAGTCCTAGATTCTACACCTCCATCCCAGTCCTTAGATGTTTCTGAATACCTGCTGTTGCTCTTGGACGGACCCATTTACTGCTCTCCAGTGGCCACTAGTTGCATTACACCAGGAGAGAGAAGACCTCCATTTGCCCTCATTAAAGGGGAATTTGTCAAATCAGCTTGCTTGCTGTGTATGTGGGCACTAAGATGGAAATATTTAGTCAGCTAGTATAAGATTTTTTTAAAGGAAATTTTTTTTATTTTTTGAGAAAAATATCCCTCCTACTTTGGGACTAAGACAAATGGAACAAAAATCTTTCCAATTCCAAATTATAATGGGAATACATGGGGTGAGAAATGGCAGAGAAACAAGAGTTTGGGGAGGGAAAGGACAATAGCTATCAAGGACTGGGAAGAGAGGAGACAAGTGGTGGGTGCTGGGGAATTTAAGCAGATTCTCATTCTTTAGTTTAGTTTTGTGCCCTGAGCTTACCTTACTTGAATCCCAGCATGATATTGCAAAAGTATCAGGAACTTTCCCTATAGGAAAACGTATCTAGGAACAACATGGGGCAGGAGATAGGAGAGGTACCTGGTGCTGGTGGCTCAAACCTATAATCCTAGCTTCTCAGAAGGCTGAGATCTGAGGATTATAGTTTAAATGATTTTAAACTTCTGCCTGGGCAGAGAAGTCCAACAGCCTCTTCTCTCCAGTCAACTGGCTAGCAGCCAGAAGGCACAGCTCAAGTGGTAGAATACCAGCCTTGGGTAAAAAGAATAAAAAAAACTAACAAGAGCACTGAGTCCTGGGTTCAAGCCCCAACACTGGGGAATAAAAAGAACTCGCCACCAATTTCTGATTTGCTGGCTACACAATTCTGTACATGGGCCCTCTGATGCTGCTTCCATCTCAAAGCTTCACGTAAAAGTTTTGGGGAGGAATAAAGGCTCTTTTCATCCTATCTGGAAAGGAGCAGAGGAAATCTACCCCCACTGAAAGGAAGATCCAAGGAAACTCTTGAAGGCCACAAACAGGACCAGGATGCTGGAACAAGACAACACGGGGAGTCACAGAATACTTGGCTGAAGCGTGAAGTTTCACCTAAGGTTTAGGCCAATTTGGTGTTACTTTTAAAATACTCTTTTTATTTTGGTGTATGGGGTTACAGAATATTTACAAAGAAATCAAAGAGGGTGTCACTTTTTCTGAATGCTAACATCTCGCATAACCATGGCACATCTCATAAGCCGCAAGCTCCCCTTGGCCCCTCACAGAGCTTTTTGGAATTTGATGAGTTTCTCCATTAATGTACTGTTCTGGGATTCAACCCAGGATCCTGTACTGGCTAGTCACATTGACATATGACAGAAAACAACTACAGTTTGCTCACAATGGCTTTGGCATACTAAATTAAAAACAACAACAAGAAAACAGATTTTCTTTTGTTGGGCACAATCAAGGCACTCTTGCATAGAAGGACTGTCAGGCTCTGCCCAGATGTTCTGCCCACTTTCCCCATGGGGTGGGTTGCCCTATGGGCTTGTTGGAATTCTTTCCTGCTTCCTCTTTCCCTATATCCTTTGGCTTAAAGAAGCCAAAGGGCTGGTCCAGGGCTGGGCCTCCTTTCAGTGAGCTTTTGATCACAGATAGCCAGCCATGTTTTCAAGCACCTTCAGTGTTGGGCCAGGTGGTCTGCATGTATTACTGCTAAAGCCATACCACAAGGCATGTTGTTGTCCTGTTTTATACAGGAGGAATGTAGACCCCAGAGGTGGAGGGACATGTCCAGGATTCTCCAGCTTTGATTCATGAACCAGATTTGAATTTAATGGCATGGATTTCTGGTCCCTTGGAGAGAACAATTATGATGTTCTGGAGACAAGTCTACTCCCTTACCAGACTTCCTCTGGCCATCTTTGCTCAGGTTTATATTCATTTGCTTGCCCAGCGGTTCCACTCCGAGCGTCTTGGAGTACTTGGACTCTCTTCTCTTGGTGGGTTTTTGCCTTGTGTCCTTGTAGGGAGTAGGAGAAGGTACCCAGTTACAGAAGCTGACCCAAACAGCCATTTTCAGAGTTTGCTGAAAAAATGGGCAAAGGTGACAGGGGGAGGCCTGCTCTGGGTCCTAGGGAGGTCTGAGTGGGAGGGCAGGCTCTTGATGCTGGCTTAGTAATATTCCTCACTTGGAGGGAGGCTAGTAGGCACCCTGGAACCCCATAACCCTTGCTGATAAAGAGATCTGCAGCTGCCCTTTTGTCCCCATGACTTGGGGCTCCCATATTTCCTGAGCTGTGTGGGGGAGAAGAGTGGAGAGAGGAAGCTATGGCACTTGGGAATAGACTACAGGAGTGCCGTGATTTGTTGGGTGATGCTGGATAGGAATGGGGAGCATGTAAGGGATTTTCTTTTGGCTGCAGTTGTGGTACGGGGATGTGTTTCAGAGCCTTCAGTGAGAGTTGAAGCCATATCCCATGGGGGAAAGGAGTGAGGTGGAAGGCAGCACATTACCTCTCCCTGGAATGACACCCTTTGGGTCTCTCCTTGCTTCTTCTGGCTGGCTTTGGTTTTCTTATCTTCCTTATCTACTTTAAAGAATTCCTCATTGGCCTTTTGCCTCTGAAAAGACAGAGAAAGGGCCCTGAGATGCCTTTCCAAGACTCCGCACTGTGTCATGTGAAAGGCTTCCTTTTTTTTATTCTTATTTTTTTATTGTGAAAATATTGTACAGAGGAGTTACAATTACATGGGCAAGATAATGAGTACATTTCTTATCAAGCATTGTAGCCTCCTCCTTTGTTTCCCCTTC